TGAGTTCTAAGTTATGCCGTTTGACCTCACCAATGTCCCTACTGTTTTTTAGTCCCTCATGAACAGGGTGTTCTGACCATACCTCCAAAAGTTCATACTAGTTTTCTTTGACATCTTGGTGTATAGCATGTCAACTGAGGAGCATTTAGAGCACTTAAGGGTGGTCTTAGCAGTTAGGAGCATCAACTGAGGGCCAACCTGCAAAAGTGTTGTTTTGTACAAGCCATGTGGAGTATTTGGGGCATCTCAAGAGGGGGTGGCCACTGTTCAAGCCAAGATTGAGGCAATGCTGAAATGGCCTCTACTTAGAAATCTGGGAGAGCTGATGGGTTTCCTAGGTGCTACAGGAGATTTGTGAGGGGATACAACATCATAGTATGACCATTGACAGAGCAGCTGAAGAATGATAGCTTCTTGTGGGAAGAGGCAGCTACTAAAAAATTTGAGAGATTGAAGAAAGCCATGACCACGATACCGGTCCTGGCCCTACTAGATTTTAGTCAGATTTTTATGGTAGAGACTGATGCATCAAGCTATGGATTGGGGGCAATGTTCATGCATAATCACAGACCCATAAGCCCACTTCAGTCACGTGTTGACAGTCAGAGTTAGGTTGAGGTCAGTCTATGAGGAGTTGATGGCCATTATGTTAGTTATTCAGAAATGATGGTCTTACTTGTTGGGCTATGCTATACCAGGGAAGGTTTGTGTCACCATGGACCTTTGTCCATATTCCACACTTGCTATAGGAGTTCCATGGGAGAGCTGTTGGGGGGCATTTTGGTGTGTATAAGACATACAGGAGATTGACAGTAGAGTTGTACTGGAAGGGGATGCACAATGATGTGGAGGAGATGGTGATTAGATGTGAGGTATGCTAGAAGAACAAATATATGGCCATGGCTTTAGGGGAATTGCTTTAACCTTTAGCTCTTCCAGGCAGACTGTGAGAGGAGGTCACCATGGATTTTATAGATGGGTTACCCTGATATGAGGTGTTTACAATGATTTTGGTGGTGGTTGACAGTTTGAGTAAGTATGCTCATTCATTACCCTATGCCATCCTTACACGACATAGATAGTGGCAACGGTATACATCAGAGATCGAGTTAGTTTGGCTGCATGAGATGCCATAGTCTATAGTGTCAGATCGAGATAAGATATTCCTTAGTCATTTTTTGAGGGAGATTTTCAAGTTGCATGGGACAATATTTAAGAGGAGCATCGCTTGCAACCCCTAGACAGACGACCAAATGGAGGTGGTAAATAGGAGCCTGGAGACTTACCTGTGATGTTTCACTTCGAAGACACCTTGGCTATAGGCCGATTTGGCTATCATAGGAAGAATACTAGTACAGCACTTCATATCATTCGACATCTCAGATGACTCCTTTTAAAGTATTATATGGAAGGGACCCGCCTCACTTGGTACACTTTAGGTTGAGCAGCATACCAGTTTCTTCAGTGGAGTATTTCGAGGAGAAGAATAGACTGTTGGATGAATTTAAAAGATACTTATTGAGGGTTTCACAGATCATGAAAAAGCGGGCGGATGGGCGCATGAAGGATATCTAGTTTGAGATATGGGATAGGGTTTTTTGAAGCTTTGTCCCTATAAATAAAGGACGGTGGCTAACAGGAGAAATGAAAAGTTGACCCTGAGGTATTTTGGCCCTTATGAGATATTGAGAGGATCGGAGCTGTAGCTTATCGATTGAGGTTACCTCCGAATGCCACTATAAACCCAATGTTCCACGTATCACAGTTGAGAAGAGCTATTAGGGATCGTGCAGTTAGTTCAGAGCTACCCGTCACACTGACAGAGGACCTAGAGGTGGTGTTAGAATCCCTGAAGTTGAAAGGGGTATGACTGAGAGAAGGAATGATCAAGGAAGTGCTGATAAAATGGAAGAACTTGCCTGACTATGATATTACATGGGAGCCGTACCAGAGGGTGAAGCATAAGTTCTCGTTTTTTCCATTATTTCACCTTAAGGATAAGGTGGGTATTTGGGAGGGGGGTATTATTAGACCGGTTCAGCCAGTCCACCCTGGATCGGCTCGTGTATACAAGAGATAGAACAAGGAGTTCTGCCAAGGAACTCCAGCCTCCACTAATTAGCGGGCCCAACAGCCGAATGTAGAGGAAATTCGGGGTGGGGGTGGGGGGTAGGAGAGAAAAGTCAAAAGGAGGGGTTGTTTTGGAATTTACTTCATTAGTGTATGCTTTAAGTGGAATTTTTCCCTAGGGTTAGGGTTGTCTTTGATTTTTGCTGAAATTAGATTATTCTAAGGATGGATTGGGCTATAGTTAGTAGCTAGAGATTGAGAGAGTTGGATCTTCCTCTCGAATTGAAGATCCTTTGTATCTTGTTCGTTTTCTTCCATATTTCATCAATTAAAAAGGTTTTCTCTTGTTTTTCCTCATCGTTCTTCTCAATCGTTGTTTGGCCTTTGTTGAAATTCAAATTTAGCCAAGCATTTTCTTGGTTTTCTATAAGTACTTCTTATCACCCCTTCCCCATTTTCCTTGCTTGTCTAGGAGAAAAGAGGAGAGAAAGGAAGAGGTATGAGGAAAGAGAAAGCATGGATCAAGGTGATATTTTTTGTCACTCAAATTGAGATGTAATAGATATCATCACTCTAAACATTTTGAGTGGTTTATATCAAAATGTTATTGGATGATTTTGCTTATATGTTATTTTAATTGAATTGAATAGTATAATACAACAACATCAAGCCTTTATCCCACTACGTGGGGTCGACTACATGAATCCTTTTTCTCCATTTTGTCCTATTAAAGATCAAATCCTCGTTTAAATCTAATAAAGAAAGGTCATTCCTAACCAGATCTTTTTTACATCTGCCTCTACCTTTCTTAACATAAGTCAAATCTAATACCTATACTCTCCTAACCGGGTCATTGGAAGGCCGCCGTTTTATGTAACCAAATCATCTAAGGCGACTCTCTCTAATCTTATCTTCTACTGGAGCTACTCCAACCTTTTCACGTATATGCTCATTTCGTATCCTATCTCTAAAGGTAAAGCCACTCATCCACCTGAACATCCTCATCTTTGCCACACTTAACTTAATATTATGCTTCTCTTTTAATGGCCAACATTCAACACCATAAAGCATTGCAGGCCTCACTACCATCTTATAGATTTTTCCCTTAAATTTGAGGGGTGCTTTTCTATCACACAACAAGCCCGATGCATCCTCCACTTCAACCATCTAACTTGAATTATGCTGATAATTTTCCCATCTATTTCACCATCACTCTGAATAAGAGATCCAAGATATCTAAAACGTGTACTCTTATTAATGACTTAATCGCCCAAAGTCACAATCCCCTCACTAGGTTTATTACTACTAAAATTACACTCCATATATTCCGTTTTAGATCTACTCAAGCGAAAACCTTTAGTCTCTAATGTTGACCTCCATAATTCAAGTTTACTTTCAACTCCCTCTCTAGTCTTATCAACAAGAAGAATATCATCAGCAAAAAGCATACACCAAGGTACATCCTCTTGCAAATGTCTAGTGAGAACATCCATGAATTGAATAGTATAATATTAAATATAAAATAACCAAAAAATCAATGTATTGCATTTGGACATAAAATACCTAACATTATTATTATTTTAGTTCAACATACATGTTTGGCATATTGTAGGCATATTGATGACTGATGAGTATAATGATAGTTACATTTGATATATATGATGTTTGTTATTATACTATATATGATATGAATTTGTGTAAAAGCAAGAAATACTAGCTGAAAATGATTGACTGATTCAAGTTGGCTAGATATATATTGTCCTGTATAGGAGGATGAGCCGATGAATTTTCTTTTAAATAAAGTTTGTGATGCAATCCTAAGTGATATGAAAATGGAGGTATAAGGAGATAGACTGATATGATATGATACGTCGTCGGACAGAAAGTGATGACTTCTTCCATGAAATCTATATGATTTGTGATATTAAATTAATTCATTATAATATGAATGATGTGATTGAGATTGATTCATGTATGATTAACTTATAGGACTAGATACAGAAAAAATACCACAGGTGGTCAGATGTTCTATATTGCTTGTATAGACATATGACATGATATGTATATGATTCAGGATATGACTGATACAAATATATGATAAGTCTGATAAGATTGTTTTAAGGACATGATATACATGATATATTGCATTTGATACATTACATTTATACATAAGTACATGTCTTAATATTGTACGATACTCATAGAACATATATAAAACACTTGCTTAATATTTTATGTATACTGATACACATAAGGTGACATATAATTTGAGATAAAAGATATAATTTATAGGAATGATACAACTTATTGATCTTGTGTATGACCATCGATCATTGATTATGAATTTCATTGCTTAAGTTGATTTTTATTGCTCATATGAAATGACACTGTTGATATTGAATGCTAAATGCTTACACTTTGATTGAATGATTACATGCATATTGCTTGTATTGTCTTGCATTAATTTCAGTTTGTAGGTTCTGATAACTTATTGAGTTGTTAGCTCACCTTATAATTTTTACATGTTTTTAGGAAGCGGTCGGGGTTTAGTGGAGTAAGGCGAATCAGGATTCAGGTTTTGTCTTGTTTTATGTATTTTGGTTTTATTTTTTTATAGCCATGAGATAGAGAAACTAATTTATTGATTTGATCCCCTGACTATTATAAATGAAATTTTGATGACTGCATATAAAAATATTTTGATGTAAATGATTTATAGTTGCTTTGCTAGTTTTTATTAAATAAATGAGATTAGATGCTCTTGTAGATTAGTAAAGAGATAAAATAGTTCATTCTTTCAAAATTAGATCTTGGGGTGTGTGGTATAACTTTTGAAATAAAGACATTTATCCCATTTGTGACTCTTCATCTTCAGCATATTCCCAGGGTGATTTTTGGCTAAATACCTTCATGTCTCTTTGCAACTGCAGGTGTCGAGCTGTGCGCATTAACTGGTATGACTTAGTTCATGCATTAGTTGGAGCTCAATCTACCGGTATGACCTATTAATTATTTACTATATTTCACTTTAAAATAATTTTTTTCGCTAAGAAATAAAGTCTTGCATCTGGAATAAGGTATACGGGTGAACAGCCTATATGTTCAGACATAAAAAACCAATTTTACAGGTATAATATATATATTTTTTCTGAGCGGGTGAATCACGCTATTTTGTTGAGTTCGTGGATGGTGAGGACTGAGAAGCTTGGTGCGGAATAGAAGCAGTTTTCACATAAGCGGCTGACAGGTCACGCTACTTTAAATATGGATTTATTTTAGAAATATGTAGCATCTCTGATTACCTGGCATCCATTTGGTTCTAATGTGGAGGATATTTTGTGTTCAGGACTATTCACATCACAGCCTTAGATCCATCCTTGTTTTTTACAACAAAAGTTCCTCCTGTTGTCATACAAGATCATGACTCAGATTTCTGAAATCCCTGAAGAAAGTGGTGATTCAATCAAGATTGGAACTGTTGGCACAATAAGCTCCTTAATGTCTCAAGAACTAAACTCCATGAACTCAACCCAAGTAGTAGCTTCATCCTATCAGAAGAAAATTTTGACGACTCCTATTTCAGTACTCTCTGCTGATGCCTCTAAAACAACACAGCCAAATAACATTCTAGCAAATGAAGCCAGCAGCAGCAACAACCACAATACTCACCACCTTTCTACTGCCCAGAAGCCCAGGAAAAAACCTCTGAAAAATGGTCAGCGAGGTCCAATTACGACCAATGAAGTTCAGACAGATAAGAAGACAAGAAGAAACAAGAACTGCAAGAAAGGACGCACTTACATAGTCGAAGTTGTGGATGTTAAGTGCAACAACCCTATGAGCAGCAGGTTGAAGAAGCTTGGCTTCACCAAACTATCTGAAACAATTGGTTAGTCTTGCACGAGCTTGTTTCCATAAGTTACTAGTTTTGTGTAGCTAGTTTCCTTCTGCATAGCTGATCGCAACATTTAAGCAGACGCCGCTGCTAGCGAGTGGCTTATTCTTTTGCGTTTTGTAATTATTTAAGACTACTGGAGCCTATGCCTTAATCACTTTCTTTGACTTCTGAGAGCTCCTGGGATGATCTCAAACAAGCATTCAATCTTCCTAGGACCAAGGTTCTGATAGGGGTGTCAATTCGGGTCGGGTTTGGGTCGAACCTGACTTGACCCAACCTTAAACGGGTTGACACTAACCCGACCTGATTTTGCAAATGGGTCAGGATTGTCAACCCGGATCCGACCCGTGTGGGTTACCGGGTTGACCCGACCCGACCCGCGAGGGAGGAATGGCGACATTCGGCTCTCAGGCGGAACTGCGGCGGGCTGGCAGCAGCAGCTGGTGGTTGTCCAGCGGCGGTCTTCGGTCCGACAACTCGCGGGCGTCCAGAAGACTTTTCGGCAGCTCGGGTCTACAGCAGCGTGAGACGGTGCCAGGCCGGCAGCTGTAGCAGCGACAGCTCGAGTGGGACGTCGGGACGGCAGCATCAACCGATTACGATGAGCATGACATGACCCCGAGTGACGAGATGCGACTGCGACGCGATCCGTGACCGAATGACCGATTGATGGATGGCGCAACCCTAAACGTGACTTCCGGGTCAATTCGGGTCGACCTGCGGGTTAGCTGGTCAACCCGAACCCGGCCCATTTTTCAAACGGTCGTAAATCCGAACCTGGATCCGACCCGTTTCACAAACGGGTTGACCCAAACCCAGATTTTTCCGGGTTGGGTTTCGGTTTATGCCAATTTTTGACACCCCTAAGTTTGGACTCTACCACGCTCTCGTACCTTACCTGAGGAAGTTGAATCTGTACATTTTGTATTGCAGAATTTGGTGGTGGGTGATGGGAGATGAGTGCTAGTTGGGCAAGAATTGTTTTTTTCCCTGCTTTAAGATGGAAATCTGACCCTTTTCTCTCATATAAATGTTAATCAACCCATACTGATTTGTTCAACTCCTCCCATGCTATCTTAATGCTCTTTAATATTCAGGAAGGGGTATTCCCTTTTATTTCAGTTAACTTATTCGCATGCCACTATATTATTGTTCCCATACAGTTTTTCTTCCTTTCCATTTGTATTACAGCAAGGTGTTTTTAGCGATCTTGGGATAGTTTGTCTCAACTAAATGTTTGAAAGTGAGAGAAAATTGAGTTATTGGTGTGAGTCTCATTATTGGATTTTGATAATCATGATTTTATGGAAATTTATGTTTATAAATTCAGTTCATTTTTTTTATCAAGTTTGTAATAAGCTTTATTTTTATTCATTCTCCTATTAACTTATTATTGTATATTATATATATGGGAACTTTATAAAATATTCTTATTAAATTTATGTTCTCATGACATTATTATTTTCCCTTTTTCTTAGGACTGCAACTTTTCAATGCTAGCAGAGGCCTGAAATATTCAAATCAAATCTATGTTAGGTAACTTTGAGAAGAAAATCATATTTCATCAAGTTTTTATCCCATTATGTAAGGTTGACTATATGACTTTTTTTTTCTTCATTGTATCATATTAAGAGTAAAATTTTTTATTTAAATCTAATAAATAAATATTATTTCTAATATTTTTAATTAAGTCTTTTTACGTCGATTTATATCTTTTTTTAATATAGGTTGAGTATGAAATATTCTCTTTTAATCGGGTCATTAGAAGGTTAATGTTTTACATGATCAAATCATCTAGGTTACTCCTCTAATCTTATGTGTCATTGGAGCTACTCCAACTTTTCATGTATATACTTGTTTTGAATTTTGTCTCAAAGTGTAAATTTATTCATTCACCCGAGAATCCTCATCTTTGTAACACTTAACTTAATTAGTTAATTGTATGTGCCGATATATATTCTGTGCCATAAAGCATTGTAGGTCTCACCAATGTCTTATATAAAATTTTTTATGTAAATTTGAGGCATTTTTTCTATCACACAGTAGGCACGATGCATTCATCTATTTTAATCCTTCAACTTGAATTTTACTAATAATATCATCATCTATTTCATCATTGCTTTGAACAATATATTTGAGATATAAAAAACATGCACTCTTTTTAATGATTTGATCACCCAAAATTATAAACCCATCATTATATTTATTACTATTAAAATTACACTTAGTTACGAAAATTTTTAGTCTAGTAAAAACAAAATTTTAAATCTATTATTATGTAGATCTAGTTAATAGTTAACATAGATTTTAAACTTTCCTTAACTTCTAAAAGCCCTCCAATTGTGAAAATTTTGTTTTCATATATAAAATGAGCAAAAATAATTTCTTCTTTTTAAAATTAATATATATCTATAAACAATCAAAGAGGCGAAATTGAAATCATCCGATTTGAGAGGGGATTAAAATAAATAATATTTTTAATTACACCCAATCTAATGTATTTAGCAAATTTTATAATTTCTACATTGTTTATAACTTCAACCAACCAAATGTGACTTATTTCGTTAAGGAAAAAAATTTTCAGAATAAATAAAGGGGTAATTAAAAGCACGGCACTCAAATTTTAAATATTTAAGTACACTCAACCGCTTCCATTTATAATAATATCATCCAAATAACAAAAAAATCAACAAAACCTTAGCATATAATTTAGGGAGGCGGGTAAAAAAATTTGCCCATAAATTCACAATTTGGTGGACTTTACAAATACATCGTATTCAATTGACCCGCTCAAACGAAAACTTTTAGACTAGATTGACCTTCATAATTCAATATTTCCTTCTACTCCTCTAGTCTTATCAACAAGAAATATATCATCAACAAAAAGCAGACATCAAAGTGCATCCTCTTGCAAATGTCTAGTAAAAACAAAATTTTAAATATTATTATGTAGATCTAGTTAATAGTTAACATAGATTTTAAACTTTCCTTAACTTCTAAAAGCCCTCCAGTTGTGAAAATCTTGTTTTCATATATAAAATGAGCAAAAATAATTTCTTCTTTTTAAAATTAATATATCTATAAACAATCAAAGAGGCTTAAATTTAATTTATAGAGGTTAACTTCAATAATTAGAATGTTATTGGGGCTTATTTGATTGTTGACAGAGCATTTTTTTTTTCGAAAAATAGTTTTGTTTTCAGTCATATTCTATGCGAAATTGAAATCATCCGATTTGAGAGGGGGTTAAAATAAATAATAATTTTAATTACACCCAATCTAATGTATTTAGCAAATTTTATAATTTCTCTACATATTGTTTATAGCTTCAAAACTGTTAAATAAAGGAATTTTTATTGCATCCTCCCACCTGACGTAGAGCTACATCAGGTAGCATATGATATGTCGCCACGTGTTCTTACTCTTGACCACGCGGCCCGACGACCCGACCCGTAACGGACCCGGGAGTTTGCGTAGCTCGGTATTACTAGGTATTGGTTGATTTTGCTCGATAAAAATGAAAAATAATATTCTGTGAAGACCAATACCGAGAAATACCGAGCAATACCAAGTTCTTTTAGGTATTACTGGTATTTGCTCGATATTTGCTCGGTATTGCTAGATATTACTCGGTATTGTTTGACAATAACAAGAAATATCGCTCTATGAAGACCAATACCGAGTAATACCTAACAATACCGAGAAAATACCAAGCAATACACGAACATAGTAATCCCGGATTCGATCCGAGTCGGGTCATCGGGCCGCGCGGTAAAAAATAAGTGCACGTGGCGACATATCATAGGCTACCTGATGTAGCTCTACATCAGGTGGAAGGACGTAATAAAAATTCTAAATAAAGGGGGAATTACAAGCACGGCACTCAAATTTTAAATATTTAAGTACACTCAACTGGTTCCATTTATAATAATATCATCCAAATAAAAAAAAATCAACAAAACCTTAGCATATAATTTAGGGAGGCGGGGAAAAAAAATTGCCCATAAATTCACAATTAGGTGGACTTTACAAATACAAAAATTTATTAGTTTTTTCTTTAAAAAAAAAAAATAATGGACATCCAAATATTTTTTAATGATGATATTGCTATTTTCTCTTAAACAAATACTTTAGCACTATTAGTAAAACTGACATTAAAGTTTATGTAACGTTTAGGTTTCAAACAGCCAATTTTTTTATTACTTTCTAAAATAACTTTTTAATATAAAAATTTTTTATTCAAAAAATGTTTATATTAAAAATCCTTTTTTAATAAAAAAAACTATCTCAAAACAAGCCTTAGTGCCATTGAACAAACCGTAATCTAATTGCAAAATAGGACCTGCCAAGATTATGCTCACAAATGAAGAAATTATTCTGTGCAGAGACCGGACTCAAGTCTATGTCCGAAGGCCAATCAGCATCAACGGTACCAAACAGTAACGACAATATCAAGCCGCGGTACCAAGCGAAGGGATGATATGACGCATTCTGATTAATCTCGAAATGACATTCAACATCGCCATCCGCACAGAATAATTTTTCCCATAAATGAGTACAACAGCCCGCATGAAAAGCAATCAGCAGCCATTATGAATTGAAGGAAACTGATAATAATCCAATGAAGTTCATATCACATCACGTAGTCGTCTAGAAGAGCAACTAGTCATTATTTCATCTTGGCAAAAACCTCGACATCTTTCAGAAACATAAAATGCCTCAAAAGAAAGTTCCATACCGTATTATCAGACATCAAAGAGGGCGCTGAACTTCATTGCCAGTGGGAATAACAGTATGGCACTGGCAACTCCGACTCCAAAGATTCTGTGGGAAATAGAGTAAGTTGCACTCAGCTGTGGCTTCTTCAAAGGCAAATGAGGCGATAAAGGCCGATTAAAGTAGGCCCCTTTAGCTGATTCAGAAACCACTCGGCTTTCATGGAAGGCTCTAGTTCCGGTCAGAAATCTCTTCACTGAGTTATCTTCAGTAGGCAGCTCAATATTTGAGGGGAGCTGCCTCAGTACATTCTTTCCATTTGATCTGGTCGAATTAACGATTCCTAAGAAGCAACATCAGGTTAAGGTTACATCAAGCAAACTCTGGGTTCATTTGGGACAGCTTTCTTAATACTTTCTAAAACAATAATTTAGTTAAAATTTTTCTTGAATTAAATTTTTTACAATAAAAAATTATTTTCGAAAGCAAGGAGAAAGCTATCCCAAACGAAACCGCAGTCACTACACATTTCAATGTTGTTAGCATTCCAAGGAGAAATTGAGGCTCCGTTTGGGACGACTTTCTTACTGCTTAAAGTAGCTTTCTAGTTCCAAAAATAAAAATTCTTAGCTAAAAAGCTGCTTTAAGAAGCAGTAAAAAAAACTGTCCCAAATGAAGCCTGAGACTGCAAATAACAGCTTGTATCAATTCATAGCTTCACATATCATCCAAGACAAGAATGAAATGAATTTTAATGAAGTCTGGGATGGCTTTCTTACCGTTTCTTAAAGCAGCATTATAGTAAAAAATTTTAATTTTTATACTAAAAAATTACTTTAAGAAACAGTAAAAAAGCCGTCCCAAATAAAGCCTAAATCAATTTGACCAGATTGAAACCAGGCAGGAGTTTAGACAAAAGTCTATGAAAAGAAGTTTTGCTGAATATTAGGATAAAATCAAGCCTTCAGAAAATCAGTTGTCCTTACTCTACCTAGAAGAATAGCACTATGATTTGCATACTCCAGGAAACTTTGCAAACATAAATTAATTTCACATTAAAAAAAGGCATATAAAATGGTCAAATCACTTACCCCGAAGTGCAAATGAAGTATCCATCTTAAGTTAACCTGACCTACAGCAAAATATACAAATAATAAATCCACAAGTCCTGCAAAAAACTAGAGGCTAATTCCAAACACAATATGAACAACGAATATGAAAAAAAAAAAAGGTGAGCTATCTGATGATGTTTTCATAAAGGAAGGAAAGTTATATGTTTCTACTTAGATGCACCATACGCATGGTAAGAGAAAAAAAATCAGAAAAAAACTGGGTTCAAATCAGACTATAACACTATTTTGGAGCCTTTGCAATATTCTGGCAGATTAAATATAATTTTGACAGTACTAGATTATTCGAAGTTTTAAGTGATATATAAAAAATCTTAGAAAGCAGTGTGTTACAGTGATAGGTTAGAAAATGAGAAATGGTCAGAGATTTAGGCTTAGTTTGGGACAGCTTTCTTTTGCTTCTTAAAATAACTTTTTAGCATAAAAATTAATTTTTTTTACTAAAAACTGCTTTAAGTAGCAATAAGAAAGCCATCCCAAACGAGGCCTTAAAAGTGATCGATGGTTAGAAAGCAATGTTTAACCAAAACGTTAATTGTGAAAGCGGTAGTTTGTTACAAGTTTTAGGATACATATAGGAAAGTTTAGAGAAATAGGCGAGTTATATCTAATACAAATAGTTTGTTGTGTAAAACTGTATAATACAGTAGCATTTGGAAATGGAACATTGTTATTCTCGTTTCAGAGTATCAAAGCTATTGACAAATTAAACTATTTATTGGTTATATTTATTTCGAATAACACATGCGCTAAAACGATGGTGATCAATTAAACCTCTCATAATGCTACAATGGTAAGAAAAAATGGCTATTTTACAGCATGCCCAGTCACAGAAGAGGTAATAGGACCAGCTTGCCTTAACTTTTAAAAAAGTGCTATCATTCACTAATTCAAAATGAAGACGCAGCTTCCCTAAGGCATATAGATCCAATAAACCTTTTAACCTTTGAAGTAAATCTCAAACAGTACTATGTAAAAACCCAACCACCGTTAGTCCAACCAGCAGGCATGCATTACAATTGCACCTGTAATATATAATATACAATAACATTGAGAAAAATAGGAAACTATATACAGAAATGTCCTTCAAAAGTTTTTTTAGTATTTCCAATTATAAACATCCATCTCAAATTCAGTCAAAGCACATGCCTTTCTCGTACAGGTCAAATTTAAACTTTAAATCAAACATTTATGTATTTTAGAAGACAATGATAATATTGGCTGATTGCTGATAGGTTCATATGCGATCTAATTGTTGTAAAACTACTAGATTGGATCCCCTACAAACATTCCACATATAGTTTCTAGATTTTCAAGTATAACTTGTTTTGATTCCCTTATACACAATCTCATTCATAAATCAAGGTTGCTCATCCAACTGCAGCTATTTAACAGTAAGAAAACATCAGGTAAAAATCTTCTAGCAATAAACTGTGCTATTTAATACGAAATAATATAATTAATGGTACTTTTATAATAGTATTAGCGTAAAAAATATCAAGTTAGGAAACCTCTCTATATGATTATACTTAAAACAATATACTCATTCCATTAAATATAATAGAGGCATTCTCAAGTGAAAATATATACAATCAGAGATAATAAATTTCCCCTCTAACATGATATCAAAATATGTTATTCATCAGTGTAGCTGCCGCCCTTCCCCCTCTCTCGATTCCCATTTCATAAACCCCAGCAAAACATGTGTCTCCTACAACTGCATGCATCCCCCAATATCGAATGCATGCGTGCCACTGCTGCCCATTTGTAAGCTCGCACCTTGCGGCCCTGCCAGGTCACACTTGTTGATCTTTGTATGTGTCTCCGTCTCCTAACCAACTCGAACAAATATGATGAGAATGACAGCATAATGTTGTAACGTCGTGCGAAATAGGATCAAAACACCTCAACCATGATCAAAATAGTTCAAATGTTGGGCGCTCACAAAATGAATTACATCGACGTGTCTAGAGCATCAAAATCACCAAAGGGGGATCCCCTGCAATCAATTAAATCAAACATAGAGAGGACGTCGTCCAAAATTCACCGGTTCATAAAATGGATTGTGGCTAAATGTTTGGAATGTTTAAGTTACTTAGATAAGACATCTATAGTGCCGGAGTTGCCATTGTATGAAAAAGTATGAAATTTGGTCGACAACACGAATTTTAAGATGGGTGAGAGATTAGGAATCAAATGAAAATACAAAAACCCTTTTTTGATAATATTATTATTATCATTATCAATATTATTTATTTATTTATTTTTATTTAAAAACAATGATAATAAATCATTCTTAAAATCCCATCGAAATATTGTAATAATGTTTTTTTTGTAATGCCCACTATCTTCACATGGGTCATGACAAACAATCACCTCATGTGATCTGGTGCATCGTATCGTTTTGAGCTATTTTTGTCCCTAAAAGGCTAACAATATTACAATCCATATATACGATGATTATATATCTATATTGATGTTACATTTAATGAGGCATTCCCTTTCTCCTCTCACACTACATATCCTGCCAATGCTCCTCCATTATGTCCCCGACCACCTATAGCCAAAATGTTAGCTCCTATTCCCTTGCATGATTATACTCACATGTCATCTATCTCCTACTAAAGCATATCCCCTCCATTTGTTTATTATAGCTGAGCAATAGTCTAAAATTAAGCCCTCGGATCTAAATTTTGCTATCTGAAAATTTAAATGTCAATAAATTTGCCATCCACTATGCTATTTTCTATCATTTGTTTAACCATCCTCTTTTTTTTCATTGTTCTTCCTTGTCATTGTTTGTTTCTATTCCAAAGACTGTAAACCTCATTACTCAGTTTAATTTAATTCATTTTCTCCTTATTACCATTAATCAAGTGCAAACTATACTTCAAATGAATGTAAACAATAGTTTTCTCTACAAAGACCTCACTGAAGATATTTATATAGAGCGCATTGCTTCAGAGGAGACCAAAATAAATTCGAAAAGCTATATGTTGAATGATCATGGGTCCCCTTTACAGCCGACGGTCAAAATAGGGCTTTCACTCCTCCCGCATAGGGCTAGCTATTGGTGGGACCCCAAATCAATTAAAAAAAAAACTAAACAAAGACAAGATAACAAACACAATAAACAATACACAAGTTTATGTAATTCAGAAAGATCTACCTGCATCTAAGGTTGCACAGGGTCAAATATCTCATTAAACTTCAAAAGAGGGGTATATGAATGATTTCTCTTCACAAAATTATAGATAAGGATAGAGACAGCACTTCTTTATGTTAGTAAATGAGAGGCAATGCAACCAATGCTACGGAGATAAGGACTTTATGTGGAGAAAAAAATGTTATTATTGTTTCTATCACTTACTTGTCCTCTCTACAATATCAGTCCAAACAAGAGCTTCTCCTTTTGATGGAGCCAAAACTAACAACACCTTGATGAAGAAGCATATCTCCTTCTTGCAATCACTTAAAAAAAACTTTTCCCTTCTCAATTAGTTGGCAGCCAGTCTCCTCCACTCTCCCCCTTCTCTCTATTAGCTTGTGGTTGTGGGATTAAAAAACACTTTCTTCTAAGACTATTTATAATGGTAACAGGGAATGAGTTTGAAACAGATAATCAGAATGGAAACTTCTTTAGAAAGTAAACAAATTTCGTAGCTTACTTTGAGCAGTCATATCAAGCAAACAAGCTCTCATTTACCACACAATCCCAACAACTACTAATAAATTTATAATGAACTATAGGATGACATACAACCGTGACCAAACTATTGATACTGACTGTATCATCATATTTAAAGTGCAATCCTTGTGATACAGGAAATCCTTAGGTATTAGATTGAATAATTAGAAGCGCGCAGACTCATCATACGAAAATTCGTTTCTAATTAGGACAATATAATATATTGCTTCAAACAACGAGCTCAGCAAATACGTTAGTTTGAACAAAATAACAAATTTTGAATCAAAATTTAATAATATGTTGAGAGGCTCTGCAATTGAATGAAAATCACCAGACCAGGCGAGGATAGGAAAGGTTTGATCCCTACCGAACCAATATAATCCGGAACTGTTTCAGGAGGATCTGTCATCGCCAGCGTTAGGGTTTTTAGAGAGCCCGTAGGGGGGTCACAGCTAGCGAGCTTCCGTCTCAACTTCCGATCCAACGGAAGAACGGCGAACTGTCGCGACTTCCGATTCGACAGGAAGGAACGTTGTCGAGGAAGCGAAGAAGGCTTTTAGCGACTCCTTCAAAACCCTACCTCACGCGAAGCAGTCGAACAGCAACGAAGAAAATGGAGAAGAGAAAAGCAAAACGTAGCGGCTATTGAAAGAGAAGAATAAAAAAGTAGACGGTAATTAGTTATAAATTAATTTAAGTAATTTAAATAATATAAATTAAATGTAAATAATTAATTAGATAATTAATAATGTAAATAATAATTCAATAATTAATTAGATAATTAATATTCTAAATAATAATTGGATAACTAATCAAAATAATAATTGTAGTTATATAATTAGTTAAGTTATTAACATTTATAATAGTAATTAGTTAATTAAGCTAGTTAATATCCTTAAATTATATTGTTAGTTAAGTTAGATAAGTAATATTCTAAATAATAGTTATATTATTAGTTAAATTATTTGATAATTAAATTAATTTCTACTTATATTATTTATAATTGTAATTTATTAATGGTAATTTAAATTAAAATGAATAAGTTACTTGTATTAAAAACATAAATTAAATTTGAATTTTTAATGAACTAATTGTCTTAAACCATGAATTATATTTTCAAACAGTTTCATAGGTTTTAACACTAACTATTTTTAAGATTTATTAAATATGAATTTACAAGATTTACTAAATCTTACTAAAATTAAATCATGAATGTTGCCAAACAACCCATTAAAGAAATTCACATAATTTTTTTTTTATTTTATTATTTTTCATCCCATATAATGTTATTATTATTTGAGTCATTTACATATATGTCGTTAAATATTTATATTTATATATCTAATACTTAAATTTTATATTTGTTTAGATTTCATTTTTAATATTTAAATTACATCAAAGCACATATAAGTCTTCAAACAAATTGAATAGAGTAGGTGATTGTTAATGTTTGAGCTTGTTTATTATCCGCTTATTCAAGTTCTATTTGAGCTTGATTCGAGATTTTCCGTTTGAGATTAAGCTTGCTTCGTTTTATAATAATATGTGTTCATATTTGTATTGTGTTTGATTTATGTTCAATTCATTTTGTACTTATCGAACAAAAGAGCATTATCAAGCTCACTAAACAAACAATTATCTAGTGCATGCTCACGAACATATCTAGCAAGTGTTTTCAACCTATCAAATGAGTCTGTTCTTGAACATATCTAGTGAGTACTTTCGACCTACCAAGCGAGTCCATTCATGAACAAAGCAAACCCCTCTTATATAGGGGTGATTTAGCAATTTACCCCCTTATTTTTTCTCTTAATCGACCCTTTTCAAGCACTCATGAGCCTGCCTGTCTTATTCGTGTGTTTCGTTCGCTCATCATAACAACTCTACTATATGAAGGTCGAAGCGGTGAAGCTCGAAGGAAAGAACGGTGGGTGGACATGCAGACCATGCAGGCATGCGGGCAGACCATGCAGTATTTGGCAGCTGCGACGATCGGCTTATGATGATTGCAATCTAGCTACTATGCTAACCTTGTAACCATTAAGTTGTTGTTGTGATTGCACTCCCCTAAATCAAACATATACTTTCTTGTGTTGTAGCTTGTTCAAACATAGTTTGACGGATGCTTCACACTTGAGGTTCCAACTTTGATTGAAACATGTTTGAATATGATTTCAGCCATGTTTGAACCTTTGTTGAATTATGTTAGAACATTGTCTAAATAATTTACAAGCTTACTCGAACTTGTTGAATCTTCACTCGAACCATGTTTGAATTTTTTTTTTGAACCTTCACAAGAACTTGTTCGTCCAAATCATCTTCTTATGTAGGCCTGTCAACATTTGACACAACCCGAAAACAAGACCCAAACCCGACCCGAGAAATTCGGGTTAGGGTCAACCCGAACTTGAAACAGGTCGGGTTCGGGTTCTGTTTTTTGACCCATATGCCATTTCGGGCCGAGTTCGGGTCAACCCGGGTAACCCGAAAATGACCCGTTTCGACCCGTTTTCGTATTTACAAATTTACCCTCTTATGGCATTTAACTAGCCATTAACCGAGACCAAGAGTACGTCATTCGTGAGTCGTGACTTTGTCTCTCTTCGAGCGAGAAAACCCTAAGCTAGGGCTGGTCGATTTCGTTGAGATTTCCTCCAAGTACTGCAGCTCTTTGATTCTTTGTCATTTACTCATTGGCTCATCGCCTCACTGGTTTGATTTTTTGGTTAACTTTCTTTCGGTTATCTTTTAAGAATTGAAGTCAAGCAATGAGTGTTGCAATCTTTTTTTGATTTTTTGTTACGGAGGCACTGCTACTGCTAGAGAGTAGAGACTATAGTGGTTTTTTTTTTTTAAAGTTATTTGCTTCTTCGATTCTTCCTTCCAATTTGAAGTTGTTGTGGCTTTGAAATACCGATTAGGGCTTCACAATTTGTGCTTTTATCTGTAGCTTTTATTATCTGTTATGGAAAATAGAAATTGGCAATATCTATTATTTATTTATTCTGCTTGGCTGCTGCCTGTGGGTTGTCGGCCTTGTGGCTGTTATCGGCCTTGTGAGTTGTGGCTGTTTTCACTTATTAGTGTATATATGTATGAGTGTATCAGTGACTCAGTGTATTGACTATTGGAATTCTTTGTTTCCTGTTGGTTGTTGTCTGTTGCCTATTGGAAGTGTGCTATATGCAATTACAACAATTTCGTATTTCACTGATTTTGTATTTGTGTGTTGGATATTGTTTTAAGGTAAATTATCATTTTTCATTTGTATAATTTGATATAATTATTTGCACCAATGCTCACTTCTTACATTCCAAAATAGGATTTTGATTCCTTTGAGGAGAAGGTAGAAATGCCAAAAAATTAGAATTGGAGATGTATCTTGATGAACCAAAAATAGATAGAAAAATTGAGCTAGATTTCTTACATTTTTGGAAAGCCAACCAATATAGATTTCCCGAGATTTCTGCAATGGCACGTGATGTTTTGTGTATTCCCATATCAACTGTTGCTTCTAAAAGTGCTTTTAATAATACTGGGCGAATCCTCGATCAATATCAGAGTGCACTAAAACATGATATCATTGAGGCTTTGGTCTGTGCCAAGGATTGGCTATACGGGGATAATGGTGCAGTTTTTTTAAACTTTTACTTATATAATTGCACTTTCTTTAGTAATTAAGAGCTGAATTATTAAACACATATTATTATTTGTTGGTTTGTTGCAGTTATACATGATCCTGAGCTTGAAGCTATGACTAAAGATGTCCTTACTTTAACAGTAAATGAACTTGAGACAAATGCTGGGGAAAGTTCTGTTATATGAAAAATTTATTTGGTTGTTTGGTACTTTGGTTTAATGTTGAACTTGAAAGACAGTTATTTCTTTAATGTTGTATTTTTGTAAGTGTGTTTGGTTTCGGGTTACCTGCTGCCTCGACCCGTTTTCATATTTACAATTTTACCCACCTTAGGGCATTTAACTAGCCTAATAACCGAGAGTACGTTCTCCGTTCATGACTTCGTCTCTCTTCGAGCGAGAAAACCCTAACCTAGGGCTGGTCGATTTCGCTGAGATTTCCTCCTCTGCGGTTCTTTGATTCTTCGTCATCGCCTCATTGGTTTGATTTTTTGGTTAACTTTCTTTCGGTTATCTACTTATCTTTCGGTTATCTTTGAAGTCAAGTAATGAGTGTTGCATTTTTTTTTTGTTACTAAGGCACTGCTACTGCCAGAGAGTAGAGACTAGAGTGGTTTTTTACTTTTTTTGAGTTATTTCCTTCTTCGATTCTTCCTTCCAATTTGAAGTTGATGTGGCTTTGAAATACCGATTAGGGCTTCACATTTTGTGCTTTTATCTGTTTAGTTTTTTATGAATTTTTATCTTAAGATGCAATTAATTAGTTTATTATGAAATCATAAACAGATTTTTGTTGAAATTCGTTCTTTCGGGTATCCTCCTAGTCAGCTGGTGTACCGTGCATGTGCT